TTGAGCTGTTGAGAGGCTAGAATCTCTATATAACATTAGAAGATGGTTGGTAAGAACGGCGGTAAAGGCAGTTACGTCTAAGTGTTTCATACTTGTGACAAAGAATTTTTTTAAAGGTTCGTTTGATTTGAGGGTAGCAAGGCAACTACAGTTAGGACTATTGATAAGATTTAAAAAAAATAATAGTTAAAAGAACTACATTCCATGCGTAGTCTGGCACGGTGAAGGAACCATTATTGTAATAGGAAGGAATAGCAAGAACATCTCAAACATTTGTTCAAAATTCATATTCGTGTCAATTTACTGATGTACATTGATACAAATAATTTTAGTAAATTGCTCATACAAAACAGTTACATATTTCGTTCTATTTGGAACCTGCACCTGGATAGGCAAGTACAATTGTTATCGACACGGCCCTGTCGGTTTATCGGCTTATTGATATAATTTACTGTTCGGTATTGGTAATAATGACAGAAACTAGATGATTGGAATACAGGGTCTGTATTGGTAATAGGCGTCTGACATTCTGCTACCACATAAGCTCCCACCACTGAGTCGCGGGTTCGAAACCTACGCGGGGCAGTCGCCAGATACTGACCGTAGGTCAGTGGTTATTCTCTGGGAAATCCGGCTTTCCTCCACCACTAAAACCTGTCATGTCCTTAAATGACCATAGCTGTTAATAGGACGTAAAACACAAACAAACCAAACCAAACTATTGGTTATAATGATCAGAATAAAAAAATCCGAAGTTTTAAAAACTAGGGAAAATAAAAGTTTAGAATATTATGCATGTGTAAGGCGCCGTTTACCGTGTTATCACAAACCCTAGTGGGTTTCCCATTTGAATTAAGTTTTTTCTTTTATTTCTTCTTTTTTTTCTCGGATCTAAACATTGACACATGTCTGATTAAGTCTCCCTCCACCATTTGACGTCATTAAAATAACTCAATAAAACTGCAAATATACGAGTCGGCGCTAGCTCGCCGGCAGGTCCCGTAGTAGTAGATGTTAAATTGAAAATTACGCACGTGACAAGATATACACACAACCAAGTGGTGAAATAATTATTTTTTTCATTGGCACGCGTATAAAACTAGCGACGAACTATTATATGTACACAGACAATTTTCTATTCGGAATTCGACGAAAACAGTCCGAGGTGGGGTTCTTGATGTGTCTCCTGATTGGGGAACATCGTCGGAAACAACAAATCATGTCCTCCCCCCATTCGACTATTTTTATCTCTTCTAAATGACATACTCTCTATTGTTGCGGCTCTTGACCTTGACAATATTACAAGTACCTGAAACCACATACAGCACGATTTGACCTTGACTTTACTGTTGGTTTGTTTGTGTTTTACGTCCTATTAACAGCTATAGTCATGTACGGACCTGTATGGTTTTTGTGGTGGAGGAAAGCCGGAGTTCCCGGAGAAAAATCACCGACATATGGCCAGTACATTGCGACTGCCCCACGTAGGCCTCGAACCCACGACCCAGTGGTGGAGGGCTATTGGAAGCAGAATGTCAGACGCCTTAACCACTTGGTCACCGCGGCTTTAGTACGCTATATCCATTATCGAAATCAATCTGGTCTACATATCCCCTAAGTATCACGTTTGGCCAGGTTATCCTATTACACACTTGTTGTAAGTGTGCCATAATGAAATGAATATTAATGATATTCTGTATGCTGTTTCAGTCACCAGGGACGATATATTGACACATATCTGACCCAGCCGCGCTCCACTTCACTTTATAGAAATGTGTTATCAAAACTGCAAATATTGAAAATAACACACATGACAAGATGAGCATACAACAAAATAATGACATAGGTTTTCATTGGAACGTGTATAAAAATATATGACACTATCGACAAACATTAATAATTGCATATACAGTCAAATTTTCTAAGCTGAATTTGATGAAAAGTTCTGACGTGGTTTTTTATGCAATGCCAGGGTGGGGAACATTGACGGTAACAAACATTGTCACCTCCCACCATTTCAGCACTTTTCTTTTCTTTAACCGTTCATAACAAATATTGTAAGGACAAAGTAGCGAAATAATTGGAATCAATGCGTAGACAACAAATCACGTTGTAAAACTAAACATCGGTGAATGTTATCAAATCTTCATATTAATGAAAACGTTCTCATGCTCAATCATGGATTTTATGCTCAAGACTAGTTTCTTGTTCCGGTTATAAATCAATACAAAAATGTCAATGGTTTGGACACAAAGTGAAGAGACTTAATGCAAAAAAACTGTTTTTAATGTTTACATTTGACTTTTTGATCGTTTTACATGATTTCAGTGAGTTGCAAGAAAGTTGGTTTGAGCACAGACTCCGTACTTGAGCATGAGAACGGTTTCATGGATTCGGGCCTAGATTGATCATTCATACATAACCCATTCATATTTATTGAAAAGCGAAGACAGGCCTCAATGCATAGCCAAGAATAATTTACAGTAAAACATGTGTTAGTAGATTGCATTGACCTTCAGCAAACATGATTTTTTCATAACAAAAAATAACAGATCTCTACAATTGTAACCAACCTAAAAACTGTTGGTCTGTTCAAATAGACAAAACTAAATCATAGCCACTTTTCCACTTTTTTCAAGTTTTTTACGTTTGTCTCTAGCCTTTTCGTTTGTTTGATGCCATTTCCTTTACCATGTTGATCTACTTTAATTGGCCCTTATAACCTCGTTTGTGTTGATGGGCCGTTAGGAATCTAATAGTTATAATATTCGTAACAATTCGTAGTGCCCTACTCCCTTACTTCGGCTGCTTACCCAGGAAACCACCTTATCGTGTCCCTGTCAATAACGAGGATGTTGAAAAAACAATAATTCATAATAATAATTCATAATAATAATTCGAGGTTCTTATAAACTGCTTTATCACAACCTAGTTTGCAGATTGTCTCAAAGAGGTTCCCAACTTATTATCCGTGGTTATAGGGCCTTTGCAACCAGCCAATATCTTTCTCAGGTCTCGGGGAGCATACAGCTGGTGCTGCCATTTCGGCGCTCATACCTAGCATTCAACAACTCTAGCACTGCCCAACCACGTACTCATTCACAGCTGAGTAGACTGGAACAAGCGGAGTAAAGGATCTTGATCAAAGATACAACACAGTGCCGTGCTGCGACACAAACTCAAAACCTTCGGTTACGAGCCCGGCGTCCCACCACTGGACTACCACCACGATTTTACATAGACGTTACGTGTGTAATTCTCATCATTGACATCGATAGCTCTACATATCTACTGAACATCATGATTGGCCACGCTTCAGTTATCGTTCTACAAACTTACTTTACCATTGATACTTTAACGCTATCGATTTTTTTTTGTTCTTTATCAAGATACCCGTCCAATCATGACCTACTCTTATTGATCTAAACGCAAGGACCAGCCTAGTGTATAGCATGTTACAAACCATTTACAGTAAAACACGTGGTATTAGAATGCATTGACCCTCAGCCAACACGAGCATATTTTATAATAAAATAGCAAATCTTTAATATCTTTTTGAAACTATATACTGTTGGTCAGTTCAAAACGATATAACTAATTATAGCCATTTTTACTTTTCAAATTAATTCATTTTTTATTTTTTTGTTTGTTTGATGTAAGTTCCATTTACATGCCTTTACCTTTTATTAGCCCCAATGACATTTGTATTGATGGGCCGTTAATAATAATAATGAACTAAACATTCGATATATATATTGTGAATAAACTAAAAATCATGACTATCATAATTAATTTCCTAACTATTATTATCCCTGCAGGTGAGGGATTTGATAAGAATATCTAGTTTGATTTTTAGTAACAGATAAGGTCATTTAAGGACGTGTCCCATGTGCGTTGTGTATACATGCATGTTTGCAAGTGTGCCCGAGGCGATATGGTATTGTTTTGCTTTCAACGTTTAGGGTTATGACAAACGCAAACTGGTTCCCCCCTTCTCAGTATAATGTGAGAAGTGCAGGGGGTTCCCTCATAAGTCCTCTGTGAGAAGTGAAGGGGGTTCCCTCATAAGTTACCTCTGTGAGAAGTGCAGGGGGTTCCCTCATAAGTTACCTCTGTGAGAATTGCAGGGGGTTCCCACATAAGTTACCTCTGTGAGAAGTGCAGGGGGTTCCCTCATAAGTTACCTCTGTTAGAAGTGAAGGGGGTTCCCTCATAAGTTACCTGTGTGAGAAGTGCAGGGGGTTCCCTCATAAGTTACCTCTGTGAGAAGTGCAAGGGGTTCCCTCATAAGTTACCTCTGTGAGAAGTGCAGGGGGTTCCCTCATAAGTTACCTCTTCCATCATGCAGTGGGTGATAAAGGTGTATTCTTTCTCGATCCCCGTCATGCAGGACATCCTGATGAAAGGTTTTATTGTATATTAACAACACGTCAAATACTCGCCAAATTTGAAACAAGACCTGTTGTTCTAAGGTCGAAAAGAAAGTAGCATTGTTAATATATCTTCTTATATACACTGATGTAAACAGGAAAGTTCGTACATATTAAGTTACAAAGTTATACACATTTGTTGGACATGCAACTTCTTTCAAATAACAGGACACTCATTAAACAATTTCACAAAAGAATGCGTTTCGTGCACACGCATTATTTTGTGTTGTGTACGTGCCGAATTTTGTATTGTTCGTTACATGTACTAGCTAGTAAGTTTGACAATTTTACCGACTGTTTAAGATTTCGTGATCTGATCTTAATTTGGATTACGGGTCATGTCGGAATAACTGGAGACAGTAGATAGGGCTGGTAAGCCCTACTCTGGTAATTCTACTCGTTCCTGTTCGTCGGTTACTCTCTAAGTACCCATCGTGGTATGACCGAGCTGTTTACCAGGACGCTTAACCACGCACAATCCCACTCATGCTCGATCTATCAGTAGAATCCTCTTCGATGTTTATATAGTCTCGTTTTGCTCTTTTGCATATACTGTTGAGTCGATTTTACCAACTACTTGCTTCTTATCTTTGCACAAGAATCGAACAAGTTTGCCAATGTCAGGGACAACGATCAGACTGCCGACCACGACCATAATGACGATAGACACACTTCCGATTGTAACGCTACTGGCACGTGATTCGTACACGCTGATGAATTGACGTCGGTAGAGGGACGTGGCATTTTTCTTCACAAGGAGCTCAGACTTCAGTTTCTGTAAGGCCTCCTGTAATTCCACATCGTCTAGAACTTTTGTGCTGTTTGGTCTAAAACAGCAACAGACATTTGTGGTAGTTTGCGCCACATTCGACGTTGTTGACGTACCAAGAGACGCCACTGCAGTTGTAGTCGATGTCATTGAGGTAACGACAGGTGAAACATTTGTCGTAGTTGATTTTGCCCAGGTAACGAAAGGTGATATAGCAGTCGTAGTTGATGTCGCTGTGGTAACGACAGGTAATGTCGTAGTCGTAGTTGATGTCGCTGTGGTAACGACAGGTGATATTGCAGTCGTAGTCGAAGTGGTTGATGTAACAACAGGTGTTGTTGTTGTAGTTGTACTAGTGGACGTCGTAGTTGAACTCGTGGTTGTCGTGGCAACTGCAATAATTAAACAAAGGTTACATTACAAATTACTTTAATATATTTGACATCCTATGCTATATGTACCTCTTTTACGTTTACAAATTGGCTTACTCCTCTTGTTTTCATTGAATTGTATAATTCATAATATCTTCCCGACATGGATATAACATTGATACATCATTTCTGAAAGGAAAAGCATACCTTGCGAGGATTTCTTTTTAAATAAAAAAGAGGAAATAAACAACAATATAAGCAAGAATGTTCTGAGTGTAAAATTTGCAGCTGGGCTAGACCGGGATTCAAACCCAGGACTTCAAATTTGTATACTATCGCTGTAACCGGTTGAGCTATCTGATCAACGGAAGTGCACAAGACTAAATGTGCTACAGTTATATCTAATTTAAAGTTGAGAGGAGGTTGCTGCATATAGGAAAAGCGATACAAAACACAAGTGGAGGCACGTCATTAAATGCCCTAAGCTGTTGAACGGACATTAAATCCTACACAAACAAGCGACCTACCAACAACAGAGGAGGCCTCCGTGTGTGCAATGTATGTGTTTCTCATTCAACTGCTATGCCGAATGCACCCATCGCAGTATTTGGTCCTGTCACATGTGTTGGCAAACGTGTTGAAATTGTTAAAACAACTTCTATTTATTAACCAAAATATATAGGGTAGAGCTATTTTGAAAGTTACATGCTGGCTTAAATTCCTATAAAAATATTCAAATGAAAGCATTTGACCAACTTTCAAGTCAATAGGTTTAAATTTGTAAAAAACTTCCCTATGAATAACAAAGTGACTTACGTTGGTTAAATAGGACCAGTACTATGCAGGGATGAAGGACTTTTAATGTTGTTTAAATGAAAGAGCTTGACCTACTTACAATTTAAATTGTAATATATGTCAAAATCATTAAACGTCTTCTCAATAAATAACAGACTAAAGGAATCATATTTGACCGATAGCATACTTTGATGACATTTGCCAACTTTGTCTCAATGAATGACCTTGACCCACTGTCAAGATTACATTGTTAAACTCTGCAGGCAGCCTCTTCGTATTGAACAGAGGGCATAGTGTTGTGATATTTGGTCAGCGGGGTGCGTGATGAAGGACCTTGACTCACTTTCAAGGCAGCAGGGCCAAATACGTTAACATTAAAATATCAGTAACAATGACACATAAGGTGAATGCTACTTTTAAAGTGGAGTTCTAGAACAACGGTGTGGAAATAAATGGCCTCTAAATTGTATTAACTGGTTTTCCTTTAAATAAGTAAGAGGATTTAGTTGATTTTTATTTTGTGACGTAGTAGCTTATGTAATAAAAGGCTTATCAAGTGAATGCAAATGCATCACCTTGACTAACTTTTATGTTCACAAGAGTCTGAATATTAATTGTATCGGCCTGTAGGTAAAAAATATTCTTTGAGGGTACAGGTATGACATACAACTGCGTGACACACACAAATGCTCGCATACGCAACACGCATACACAACATACACAACACACATTCTCGCATACACAACACACCTGCTCGCATACACAACACACATGCTCGCAAACACAACACACATGCTCGCATACACAACACGCATGCTCGCATACACAACACGCATACACAACATACACAACACACATTCTCGCATACACAACACATATGCTCGCATACACACACACACACATGCTCGCATACACAACACACATGCTCGCATACACAACACACATGCTCGCATACACACACACACACATGCTCGCATACACAACACACATTCTCGCATACACAACACACATGCTCGCATACACACACACACATGCTCGGAAACACAACACACATGCATGCACCTACTTAAATGACCTAAGCTGTTGATAGGACACACAACAAACCAACAGATACCTATTTTGCCTTTTATTTGCTGTTTAACATTTTCGTAACATATGAGGCCGTGTGAAAATGGGGGCTTAGGAAACACAAAGAAAGATAAAGTGTCGGCTAGTGTGAACCCCCTGAAGAACCGGAGGTAGCATCATTTGAAATGTATTTGGGATTTTCGTTCTTTCACTTGACTAATACTAATTGTGTGAGTTCTTCTTTGACAGTCGTCTTCTTATGAATTTAGCATTAAACCCCATACCAACAAACAGGCCAGTAAATAGCATTTGGCTACATCACTTTACTTTACTTCTCTTTAGCGAAGAGTCAAACACACACATCGGCTACAGCACTTTACTCACTATAGCGAGGAGACAAACAAACACATCAGCTCAAGCACACACATGGAGGAAGATTCTTTAGCTGTTAATAGTACGTCAAACCCTATTTATTTGTGGGAGCTCTTTAAAGTCGTTATTCTACAAAAAGGTAAGGAACACACATAATAGACAAAACATTATAACTTACCTTTTTCACAAATAGCTTTGTGCACATGCGTGCAGTCGGGATGTCGTTTAAGCTCGCCCCCTTTCAGTTCCACACAGTCATTGTCTGGACAGCCTGTACACCACATCTCATTGGTACACCCTCCACACGCATGGCCAACCCAATACTTGTTACCGTTTCTGTAATAAAGAGAATATTACAAATAAGTATAACAATTGAGGCAGCGAATGGTATTTCTATTATTAGACTCTTAACGGACCATTAACACCTCCCCTAAAAGAGGTTTGGGGGATAATAAGCCTGCTGTTCTAACTAAATGTCGTAGAATGCGACTTATGTGCCCCCTGAAGAATCATGGGTTATATTAAAGAGAACACAACGCATCTGCTACCCCTATAGCAAAATTCGAAATCTTTATATTTTCGTTCTACTGTCTGAAAACCTTTTCGTTCCCTAGTGCCTTGCTCGGTAAATCTCAACACCTGGTTTTACTGTTGAGTGTTAGCACAGGTGAGGTAGGCTATGTGGACCTATTTAAAATGGTTGTTATAATTCCCTGGTTGACGTTCAGTATGTAGGGTAATTGCAACAACTGATTCAGCTGTGTTCAGTATAATGTGATCAGGCGGAATGATGTCCTGGTGCCCCGGCATAGTATCTAAGTGGTGTGGTGTGGTTTGGTTTGGTTTAATATTCCGTCTTTTCGTATTGTGGAGTTATCTGCTCTTGTGAGCAGGTATTGATTGTTACGTCATTTGTTTGTGAGAGTAACGTCATAATTGTTTGAGGAAACGACGTAATTTTCTCACTCAAACTAATGACGTAACAATCAATACCTGTCCACAAGAGCAGATAAAATAGAATGTTAAATATAACCAGGCTAAACCAAACACTGTCCTATAACTTTTGGAGTAATATCAACAACTTGATAACCCTGTGTCAGCATAGATGAAAATGGGAATATGTTTTGATTAATTATTTCATAAAATTACCTGAACTTTGCCGATTTTGTGAAAATTTCAACAAGAAAGCAGTATGACTTTTTTTCCAAATTACTCCACTACAAGACATCATACGGTTTCCTGAAATTGTCACGTCATAATTGGTGGTTTTATGTTTTGCTACTTTACAATTTATAAAGTTTCTATAGCTGATTACGACCCGTACAGGTTCAAGGAAGAACAGGTCTGCTGTGTTCCACCGCATGATCGTAAGAGGCGACTAATGACGGGCCCTGCAGAATCAGGGGTGGTTTCTCCCTCGTCTTCTATTTAAGGGACATTGAAGACACAAAGAATAGATCTACTGTTTCTAATCGCATGTAAGCGGCGACTATTGTTTGGCCCCTGCAGCTGCACCCATTGAACGACTTGGGATCTTTCCCGTATTCTTTCTTAACTACAGTGTATCTACTTTCTGTTTCGGGGACCCGTCCCCATATTTTCCTGGCTGTTTCGGGGACCCGTCCCCATTCTTTCCTGGCTGTTTCGGGGACCTGTCACCATATTTTCCTGGCTGTTTCGGGGACCCGTCCCCCTATTTTCCTGGCTGTTTCGGGGACCCGTCCCCCTATTTTCCTGGCTGTTTCGGGGACCCGTCCCCTTATTTTCCTGGCTGTTTCGGGGACCCCTCCTCATATTTTCCTGGCTGTTCCGGGGACCCGTCCCCATATTTTCCTGGCTGTTTCGGGGACACGTCCCCATATTTTTCTGGCTGTTTCGGGGACCCCTCCCCATATTTTCCAGCCTGATTCGGGGACCCCTCCCCATATTTTCCTCGCTGTTTCGAGGACGTTAAACCCCAAACAAATAAAACAAAGTGAGTAAATCCATTTAATGTTGTGTTTCCGCTTTATCGTCGACTAACCGCACTTCAAATTTATCTAAAATATCAAGTAATTTTTCCACTCTTTTTATTGTGTCTTAAATTTTATTTGTTTTTCAAAAAATATTCTTAAATTAAAATTGAATATAATTTTCATTTTTTTCATTTTTTGTTTTCTGTAAAGAAATGTAATATTAGAAATAAATGAATTACTACCTTTTTTCAGGACTTAAAAGGGAAACTTTGTTTTGGTCAGGCCTAACTGGAAACATATGTAAAAGAAGACTGATATAGGTTGAGCCTGTTGTCTGATTCTTTTAACAATGCTGTATTGTATGCATAAATACTTGTATGAATTATATATGAATTGTTAACAAAATATTTTGAAACTGGAAAAAAAATAATTACCCCTGGCTAACCGTATACACTGGGTCAAGTTTGAAGCTTTCCCATTTCTCCGCACTGTCGAGAATGAGGATCTTGCCGTTGTTCTGCTCACAGTAGAGTTGGGTTTCTGCCCAGGTTTCGTCGTTGTTATTTATAAAGTAGTCAGATGCCAGAACCAGTCGCTCTGAAATGTAAAACAAACCAAAGTTAGTGTTCGCCATCATCAACACTCAGGGTTAGGTCTCCTTTGTGATATGGTGGTCGGCGTTTTTAATAATGGTCATTAGTTTGCATTGTGGGTTTGTTGCCACTACTCGCGTTATCCATGTGAAGACGTGATACTACTAGGATTTGATCTTGATTAACCCTAACCCTAAGGATGCATGGTAGTCTAGTGGTAGGACGCCGGGCTCGTGGCCGAAGGGTTAGGGGTTCGAGTCACGGCACGGCACTGTGTTGTATCTTTGAGCAAGATACTTTACTCCGCTTGTTCCAGTCTACTCAGTTGTGGGCAGTGCTACAATTGTAAAATGCTAGCTGTGAGCGCCGAAATGGCAGCACCGACTGTATGCTCCCAAGCGATTTGAGAACGACATTGGCTGGTTGCAAAGCCCCTATAACCACGGAAAATAGTTTATGAACCGTTTTGAGACGACCTACGAACTAGGTTGAGATAAAGCGGTATTTAGGAACCTCGAATTATTATTATTACTATCAATATTATTTTTTTGTTCATATTTTACCGTCGTGTTTACCGCTTTTGGCTTATGATTATGGTTTTATAGAGACTTTGGTTTNGGGGGGGGGTCATTCAATACAAGTCACGTGATTTACACGTTGTCATTATAATAGGACCGAACGGGATACTCTGCCGGGTGCCTTCGGCATGATTTTGTCAATACAGTAGCACTCTGAAGTTTGAACTAAATCCGCGCTGTCACAGGAAGGCAAATACAGGAACATATCTACTCCAGTATATGTAATCACGCATTCAACACAGCGAGGCATTAGCTTAAATGAGCTATTACATTGTAATGGGACGTTAAATCTACTTAAACCAAACCAAACCTAGGAAGACGCCGCCATAAAGAGTAAGGAGGTGAGATAATAAACATAGATACATTGTATCCCTAGTGTTATGATGGGAGCAGTAGGTCTTCATAATGGATCAACATATCACGGCTCTACCTTATGGTATGTGGGGTGTGTGCATCCTTTGGATAGTGCTGCCTCAAAGATATACCACGCCGAATGACCTCAGCTGTTAATAAGACGCCAAACCCTATTAAACAAACAAACAAACCCAGCATTCTTTCTTATTCTACGGGAAAAGAGAACACTTCAATTGAGAGGTAATACGACATCTGGTTGGTCGATCAAAATACTTTGCGACAGTATAACCACGATATATCGTTCGCAGTTTTCTCATTAGCATATGAAGCCCGGATGGCGATTGTTAATGACGTACCCCGACTGACCCTGAGGTGCGTTCGGTAGCGAGAACGTTCGCGAGCGTTTTGACAGTTTGTTCAAAAAGTACACTGTTTGCAGCAAACGGTCGTGAACGCTCCAGACCACCCGCGAACGCATTTAGGCGGTAACTCACCAGAAAACCAAGATGGCGGAGTGGTAAGTGAAACCCAGTTTATGCAGGACGCATTTTCCAGTTTTCGGGCAATATCCCTACATTTCATGAATTATTTGACTACCGTAACAATTTAAAATAGTATTTATTCTAGGATAAATATTCAAGAAATTGTTTATTCCCCAAAATGCTTGTATTTTCTTAGATAAATGACCGGTTACATGAAATGCTACTATTTATTGCTTTCAAATGTCAACATGGTTATTATTAACAAGCCTCCTAAATCGGTCTACAGTAATTCTGGTTTATAAGTATTCACTGAAAAGGGTTAAACAATTATGTAACTGTTAACCTGTAAAAATAAATTGTTTTGATGAGATCTATCCTATGAGGCTATGTAGATCTACATGTTCAATTTGATATAAATTCTGTATTTCTATACATCTAGCACCAACTCGTACTGGAAACAGCTACAGATAAACTTGCCAGATGGAAGCAACGTTGTGTGTAGGGTTGATCCACAAACATACCATGCATGCATTGTGGAAAAGGGTCATGGAAACTCCAATTATATTTCGTAATATAAAATCACCATTTAAAATATTTATTCAGTCAAGTACATAAATATATACAATTTATAGAATAGACATTAGATACAGTCTTACTGAAACCTATGAAAATACCAAAATAACTTCATGCAAACTTGAATACTTATGTCTTCAAGGACAGAACTATTTGTCACATGTTTTGACTCCCAAATTCAGAAAAGGAATGTGTATTTGACTTTGAAATTACAATGTATTTATTTGTTATATAGGCCTAGTCAAATCCTGACCCTATATAGTTTCAATTAGATGTAAAGGAACTAACTGTAGGGAGCGAGGCCAAAGTTGGTGTCAAGCCTAAAAAATCATGACTTTACTGTCAATAATGTGGTTACTTTAGTGACATCATAATGAGTTCTCTATTTAATTCTTAATGTACCTCTCAATTATTTTCATAAACAAAATTATAAGTGCAATAAACAGTGATTTACGCTCTGAAATTCCTTTTTTTGATCATTTTGTATTGATTCATATTGAACAGATGAAACAATCATAAAAAACTTGGTAAAAAACTACAAAGAGGCCTTTCGATGTGAAACAGGTACAGATGAAATCAAGAATTTGTTTATTATGCAGTTTTGTTCGATATGATACTATTTTTGAGATTGGTTTATTTGAAACTTCATTTTAAAACTTTGATATATTCATTTCTGTTGATATTTGCATGAACTTATAGCTTTAAGAGTTTTTGGTACTGCCTTTGTTCTCAACATGGGCACCAGGTTCGAGTCCTGGAAAACTCGTCAAAAAGTCTACAATTTTCATCAGTAAATGAATATCTCAAAGGCTCACTATTACTTGCATACATTTAAATTCAAGATTATTTATACTTATAGATACAGGAAATGTGTTGATATGATTCAAAGTGAATCAACCTTGATGTTCATTGTGTATTAAATTATACCATGACTCAGATTTATGTTAATGTAAAAAGGTATACAACAGTTACATGCATGTTGCAACTTTGTTTACCTGTATTTCAGGATGTTGTGATTTTATTAGTATCATATCTGAAGGTACATCTTGGTAACTATAATGATAAATTTATCATCTTTGATTTATTTAAGGCCAAATGAAATTATATGTGTTTCCTGTTCTACTAAAATTTGAGTAAATGTTTGTGCATTGCTGGTAGTAAGGTACATCCTATTAATTGAAACTATTTCATGTCAGTATCATGAACTAAATAACTTGCCCCAAATTCCGTACCCTCAGGCCTCAGGTGACTTGGGTCTAATTTTAACCGACATATCATGATAATATATTTAATTCAGGTCACTCTATAAATCAGGATCTAGAAGGAATTTTTTCTGAAACATGTGTCACAAAAGGTTGTAATGCATATTTTTTGTTCTGTAAAAGAAGATTAATTCATTCTGGAATAATTTCACTTTCAATTGCTCATAATCAAAAGTACATGACTGAAATCTGTAATACAATTGTATGAAACCAGTCCTTATTCATGGATATACCTGTACATGAATAAATTTATTATAAATAAGTTAATAATGTATATTTTTTTGTAAAATGGGTACGTTTGTAATTTTACATGTATCGTGTAGGTGTTTCATCACCTGAACCTGTGTCAAGTGAGTCAGCTGTGCATGCAAGCCTACCAGAGTTACCAGTGGTAACCAATGAAACATGTGAAAATGCTAATAGAGGTGTGTAGTAAATTATACCATGACTAAGATATATAAAGGTAAAAATATATATCAAATTTGTTCTATTCTCATAATCGGATCTCATTTCATCTATATATTTTAAATGTAAGTAAATATCAAATTTATTTCATGATGAACTTACAATGTCATAATTTGATTTATAGTACGTAGTCTTTATTTAGTAGCATATGTAGGGGTAAATGATACTATATTGATAGGTTTGCTGAACTTGTTACCTGATCCACTATTTTAATTTACAGAATAGGTTTTAAAGGCCTTGAGCATGTGGTCACCACTTTTTGGGACATAATGTGACCGCAGTACTCTAAGTAGCAGTAACAATGAAGTTTATACAAATGAGCAGTAAAATGAAATACCAAGACATGTCTATTTCATCCTTCAGAACAAACATCATGGTCACATGAGGCAGTTCTTCTTCTCATAGAGACTTACAGGGACCATGAAGATCAATTTAAGTCCCCATTGATCAGGAAAGCTGATGTTTGGAAAAAGATATCAGCTTTCCTGCGACGCCACGGAAAGCTGTATTCATCAGAGTCATGTGACAAAAAAATGAGGTCGCTCAAATACAGGTACCATATATGGCAGTACAAACTAGTACAAATGAACCATGCATAGGAGGATGCAGCAAGAAAACCCGATGCCTCCTAGTTTTAACTAGTCAACCCATGTCTAATATCTTATTAATGATATAATTTGCAATAGTAGTGATTGTTTACACCTTTTAACTATACAACTCTTACAATGTATCATCATTTTCATGTTAAAAGAGTTCAAACCACATACACAGATATTATATTATACAGGGAATTTGGGAGCAGTGGGCCATTTCAGCAATTTTTAGTCTATATGATTATCATAATAAAGAGGGGCCATTCTATATAATATTTAAAGAAAATTGAAACATGGAGGTGTCAATTTAATTTGTTAGGGTCAGTTGCCCCATGGCCCCCTCCAGTATGATCCTTGATATATACTTCATGTTATGAACACAAATGTCACATGTTTAAAAATACTTGTATTAGATCAGTGATAGCCTACAAAATGTGTACTTATGTATGATTGCAAAATGTATGTAGTGTACATGCAGCTGCAATAACAGCAAACATTTCTGGTTGCCTCCATGAATGTGTCCAATTTGGACCTTCTGGTCTCAGATAGACATGCATCATAGAATAAGTTTGAATATTGCATACAATTATAATTTTGAAAGACTATTGTTTTAATCTCTATAAATGATTCAAATGTTATGCCATTGTGTACTCAACATTTGCAGATACAACGTTATAGCTGATGGGCATAAGGAGAC